TCCATCACTGTAACATGATACTATATACAGTCAGAAAGTGCAATAACTAGGCACAAAACTGACAGAGTACTGAAACATTCGACGTCCTGACACCTAGCTTCAACACATCTCCGTAGCGCTAACCGACAGCCTTCCAACTTGGAATGTTCAAGGGTATGGAAAAGACCAAAGAGGGGAAGGCAAGCGCAACGAAAACGAGCAAAAGCTACAGTCCCAACGGAACAAAGAATGTCGATTGTTACTGGACGATGACGAGACCAGTACGATATTTGACAAAGCTCTTAACTCGTATCCATATGTCTTTTTCTCTTCCACATTGATTTATGGCTCAACATCCGAGTTTCAAATAATAATAATAATAATAATAATTTGGAAAGGATGGGAGAACTTCAAATTCAAAGGATCAGTCCGGGAAGTGAACTGCCTGAAAAGAGAAAAAAAACTCTTTCTCTTTTCAGGCAGTTCACTTCCCCGACTGATCCTTTGAATTTGAAGTTCTCCCATCCTTTCCAAATTTAATCACTTTCTTTCACCTCTGGTAGTTTCCAGAAACTGACCGTGGTTGGTCCCCTGGGGGAGGGAAAAAGACCCAAGTGCCATCAGTATGTGTGGCACGTGTTGTGAGCTGCCTTTGGAGTGAAAAACTTGTCAGCGCCTTCTAGGTTCAGCCTGGTCCCATAGCTCAGTGGTTAGAGCATTGCTCATGACAAGCAGGGTCCCAGGTTCGAGTCCTGGTGGGTCTGGCGTTTTTTTTCTCTTTTCAGGCAGTTCACTTCCCCGACTGATCCTTTGAATAATAATAATAATAGTAATAATAATAATACTAACAGCTCGCATGTACTCCATGGGTGAGATCACCCACGGGGCCTCTGTCGGCAAAAAGAGTTAAAGAAAACGAGAAATACATGACATACGCACCTTAATCATTCTGTTATTGCAGAGAAAAACTACATCGATTCCACCATGAGCTTAGGAACGAGGAATATACTTGGTCCGCCCAGTTAAATTGGCGCTTATCTTCACACTTGTCTCAGGAAAGAAATACGAATATTTGAAGCAAGCCACGATCACAAAGCACTATATACATGATTATTTACATGTCAGTAAGCAACTCACTCGAAAATTCAAGCAAGTTACACATCCTCCTCGCCACTATCGTCGCTGGAGGAAGAGCTCAAAACGTACGATCCGGACAGCTGCTGCACGGGTCGTTTCATAGCTTGTTCCACTTCTCCGCGTCTCGAATCACGCTCAAAGGCAGTGCGTGCCTGTCACCTTCCCATCAGAAGCTGAGTGAGACTGCCCACATGTTGACTGTAAGTATTATCCCCGTTCGTCGCAATTATGCGACTTTGTTTGAGACAAAAAGGCAACGCCATATCAGTGTCCTTTTTCAAATCGCCTCTTGCGCTTGTCGTACTTGCTGATCAGCACCCGTACCCACGCAATCCGCTGGTGCTTGTACATGCAGCGCAGTGATAGCTTCCGCTTGATGTAGCACCTGTGCGTACTGCACCTACAACGGCGTGCACCAGGCTTTTCGGCTAGTGTCCTGAAAGTCCTTTGCACGAGTGTTTCTCTCAGGACTTGGTGTTTCCTTTGATTAGCTCCCTTGCCCTGTCCTCTGTGAGCTTCAAAGTGTGTCCGCCGGATTGGTCTCACTTACTGGAGACATCGACATGAGCTGCAGTTTCTTCGTCAGCGATTTGCTGGTGATAGCCTTTCACTAGGCACTGTACTGTGCAAGCGCTGAAATTCAAGCTCGCGAAGCGCTTTTTCAGCTTTTCTTCACCTCCCCGGGATAAACAATCCTTGCTATCAGACAGCTGGAAGTAGACAGAAACTGTATTCTCCATCGCTCTGAAATGCGAACATCCTGACCTATTTTACGGACTCGAGCGGAGGTTGCAGTGTTTTCTTGCGCTGACGGAAGTGTTCGTCGGCGGCAGCTCCGTCAAAAAGACTCAAACGAACCGATTGCAACTTCTGTGATGGTTTGTGCTGCCATGTCGTCGGATGCAATGGTCAATGGTCATGTTTGGATGGTGAATCGGTGGTTCCATGCCGTGTGGCACAGGCAGAACACCAAAAAAACAAGTGAGAAGATAAGCGACAATTTTAACTGGGCGGACCAAGTAATATTATTATACAAAGTACAGAATGTTATTTACCAAAAGGATATTCAAGTAAGCGCAGATATTTTTTAGCATGATAAGTTAGTACATTGATTCACAATGCCGAGCCAAGCCTCCCTGTCTTGGGAAATAGCTTCCTCTTCGGCAATGGAAACGTTTATTGCATTCTTGATGTTGTCGATCCATCTGGTGACGGGGCGTTCCCTGGGCTTCTTGATGTCTTTGGTGTCGATTGGAAGTCTTAGAGCTTTGTAGGATGTTGAGTCATTGCCTTCTTTTATTACATGGCCGAACCATAACAAGCGCCATTCCCTGCATGTTCTGGTGATAGGCAATTGGTTGGACAGCTTGTATAAGTTTTTATTCAATATTTTTTGGGGATACACTACGCCGAGAATGGATCGTAGCTTGCGGCGATGCCACGTGTCGAGCCTGTTGCCGAGTGCTGCTGTCAAGGTCCACAGGCCACAGTTGTATAATAAAACCGGAAGGATAAGTGTGGTAAACATAGGCAATCTAGATAATAAAGCGTGTCTCTTTCAGGCTATAGTGCCAAACGCTCGATTAGCGGCATTGATACGGTTCTCGATGTCACTTCCAGATACCAAGAGACTTCCGAGTAGTTTCGTCTTTCTCCATGAGTCATCATCCTTGGAAGGAGTTACAAATTGAGTTTTTGTTAACCCTTTGTGTACGGACTGTCAACTTTCGATCCCCTGGGATCGAAACTTTTCAAATTGTCAATCGATTGTAATTCAGTCATCTCGGGGTTATTTTCAAAAAATAAAATATGTAGGTCGAAGAGAAAACTCCCAGCTGTCCATTGAAACAATCGCGGGCACACTCCGAAGTGCGGTTCCAGAGTTACGAAGGTCGAAAGTCAAATCGCGGCAATTGTCCCTCAATAGCCGCGTGCGCAAATTTGAATGAGGGATTTCCCTATTATTCTTGCCATGCGGTGACGTAGAAACACGTTCAAAATGAAAAACGGACTCGTGGCAGTTTGTGAATTTTTTGAAGTAAAAATTTAGTTGTTACAAGCAAGGAGAGCGAAATGGCTGATACAAGACGACTTCTGTCGGAATATTGGCGTTGCGACTAAGCTGGGTTGTAGCGCTGGCGTTTTGACCTTCGTGGTGGCAAGTGTGGGCTCAATGTGTTCCTCTTAGGACGAGCTTTCCAGGAAGCCCAAGATTGAAAAATCGTCAAAAGGAGACCAAAGTTATGACCCGGAGAATTTTGGAATTTAAGGTGAGTCGAGATCAAATTCAGTCTGCGTACATTTTTCCCGAGCATAAAGGGTTCAATTTAGTCTCAGGTCATCATGGGCAAATATTGCATGTATTGAAAAAATGTGGTTCAAACCTCAAAGTGGGGGTGCGACTTATAATCGAGTGCGCCCTACAATCGGGGAAATACGGTTTTCTTGCCCTAGAGCATTCTATGACCGGTTTCTATCAATTCCTGAGCGGTACTGGAGCCTGGCTATTTTGATTTATAATCCTGTTCTCCTATAATTTCATTTCCTTTCCTGCTTTGCTTTTTACGTTTCACAAAGAACTAGCTTCCTGTTCGTCTCTGACACCACTTGATTTCACATAAATTACAAAGTAGTATTCTTTTGGAAATTGAATTTGATCGCTATAGACAATATATCACTACAGACGATTATTACTATACGCGGTAACTGTGTATACTTAGTTATGGCAAAAGAAAATGACCTTTTCCCATTTGTGTCTTTCCCTCAAACCAATTTGAGAAGTATTAATTTATAAGAAGAAATGAATGCCAAGGAACTATAAGTTACACTATAATGTCCACTAACACCACCAGTTACTGAACAATCAGCTCATGCGATAACATTGAACGACACTGACCGACAGTACTGACGTTCTACACCTAACTGGCAATTAACTCTAGCACATCTTGGATGCGCACTCCACCAGCCTTCCAGCTTGGATGAGCTGATTGTAAAGGAACTGGTGGTGTGTGTTTACACTATAGCGTATCTTGTAAATTGAGAAGTTGATCACTATAGTCGGTGTACATGTATTACTATAGCCATCAACCTTATAGGTGCTACAGACTGTACTAAAACCCTTTCAATACCCAATATCGCAATTGAGTCAATTCACAGTCTACAAAAATACTTCGTCGTGTGCCAATTATACACCAAGGAGTGAAAGCGATAGTTGCAGTCGATAGTCAAGGTCTTTCTGAAGACGTAGAGCCCTCATTTGTAATAATCCGACAATATTTGAGCATGTGACGAAATATTTAGTGATCACCCATTGCATCGATCCACGTGGATAGATATTTGAATGGCTGGTAGTGAGAGGGAAGTTCACCCTAAAATCAAAATTTCAGAACTTGTAGCGAAAAATCAACTGATTACAATGGCGAAAGTCCGAGGTTGATCTGAGCAACCGTTCTGGAGTTATAGCATCTGGAAGTTTAGACTAAATTCGATGGCGTCATGATGACGATGACGATGACGTCATGATGACATCATAATTTATGACGTCATTGAGATAAACTGATTTCCAAATTTGATATGGGATATATGACACTTTACTGGTATCTAAACTGGAAACATATCCCCGAGAAAGCTTGTTGCAGCAACGAAAAACGACAGAAATTGGCTGTTCAACATCTACATGTGTTCCCATACAAAGTTTATCTCTGTGACGTCACATGGATGGGCAAATTATGACGTCATCATGATGTCAAAAAAGTTTGCCATAACTCGAAGATGCTATAACTCCGGAATGGTTGCTCCAATCGATGTGGGACCATTGCAATCAGTGCATCGTTCGCTACAGGTTGTGAAGTTTTGATTTTAGGGTTATGAATATAACATCTTACCCTCGCATCCAATCAGGAACAGGGGACTGAAGAGAAGCAAGTAGCGAATCAGGACACCTTCACAGCAGCATAAACAAGAAGAAATTGGGAAAATTGCACTGGACTCCTATGTCCACTAGAGTCACATGATTGAGAACTGGTTGTCAAATTACCAACATGTTGAACAAATCTCGATTTCCATGGTTGAGACTTGATGTCTTTTGGGTCCTGAAACTGGCCACACCCCTACAGAAGCCTGAATTACTGGAAATATACAACGATTTGGTGCTGCGAAATTTAAGCATTTCACGATTTTTGACATCTCGACAAAAAATATATTTTCGGCACGGGGCTAATACTAGAACATCAAAGCCGAAGTGCAAAAAATCATCAGCATTACTGTAAAGGCAGAATTTTTGGTTGTGTAATATTTTCGGTACTCTCCAAAATCGGCGGTTCGGTGGAGGGGAATTTTCGGTAAAACCCGTTTTCCAGGTAAGTGTACTTGTACTACATGATATGTAGCGGTAATACCGAAATGTTCGGTGTGTTCTATTTTCGGTCAAAATTGTCGGCACCGAAGTTACCGAAAATAAAACACTACTGAAAATGTCTGCTTTAACAGTAGGTGTTTGTGCTCGATGCCGAATATGGTCGAAACAAAATAGCTGCCAAATGTTTTGTATATTGACAGTAGCAGAGTGGCAGATATGAGTTACCTTTAAGTCTCACCGGTCCCTGCTTTGATGTGTGATGGCATGCCGCCGGAACGGGCCAATTTGACCCACGAATGCTTTGAACGCAACTGCAACCTGTTGTGGAGGGTTTCCGGTGAACTGATCATGCTGGTGTTTGCAAGCATCATGTGGTCTCCTTAGGTTAAAACAAAATTGACCTACCACTACATTGTACCATGATATTCGAATTAATTCGTTCAAGTCACCAGCCTTCAGGCACTCGTTGTTTAACCTCAATTACCGTGATGTTTTTGATGAGTCGGACTTCAGAGTTTTGTGCTATGCCACAAGTGTCCATCAGCTCCCTGTAGTAAGTGAAAAATGTTGTGGTGGGCCGTGGCCATGCCGAAAAGAAATCGTGTGTTGATACTATATATTCCGACTGCCTTCGCTGAAAGTACTTGAAATTCTTGAATGATCTGAGTTGATCTTATACTTACTAAGAAGGTGGTGGACATCACGTAACTGTATTATAAAGAAAGGGGGGGGGTTGTCAACTGACAACCGCTCTATTCAGTTGCTATTCCAACTCGACGCATGCACCAACTCAATGACATACTGCTGCTCACATAACAACTCCACGCCCCAGATATAGTCTGTGGCAACGAAACCTGGCTCGACCCCAATGTTTCGGACCGAGAAATAGCCCTGACTGGATATAGTGTAACACGCAGAGACCGTAGTGGTCGAGTGGGATGAGGAGTTTGCATATACTGGAAGTCATGTCGTCCGGTAAAACCAAGAGACGACAGAACAACTGATGGTGTGGAAAGCTGCTGGTGTGAAGTCGCTTGCAAACCCCGCAATTGTCTTGTTGGAACAATCTACCGCTCGTCATCGGAACCTGTGGGTCACTGGCACTAGGTAGACGAATATATTCGCACTGCTCTAAGGCCACATACAGCCGAATCCTATCGTTTGTGGTGACTTTAATGTGACTATTGACCAAAGTGCCATGGACCCTTAATTGCACTGCTTATCTGACTCGCTATACAGCTATGCTCTGCATCATGGTGTCAACAAGTCTATGCGATTTAGCTCAACAGGCCAAAACAGCACCATCGATTGGATACTCAACAATTTTGATCCTTCCACCACAGCGAAGATCATTCCGGTTGCTTTCAGTGACCATGTCGCCATGGCCAGCGACTTTCACCTCATTGTCCCTCGTGGATCTGACACTACACGTTTATACCGCAACTATCACCGGATAAACCACGATCACTTCCGGCGTGACTTAACCCAGAAGAACTTGTGTAGTATTACCGGTAACCCAAGCGCCATGTGGACCGAGTGGTCTATTAGATCCATCGAGGTGTTGCATGTCCATGCCCCACTTCAAAGTAATTGCAGATCGAAGCAGCATTCAGTGCCATGGATTGACCGGCAATTGTTGTACTTACTACTGTATATACACGGAACAGGTTGCACCGAAAGTGGCTCTCTACCAAGACACAGGAGACTTACGACGAATTTAGTACAGCCAGACGTGCGGCAACTAGCTACAACAGGACCCGGAAACAGGAATTCTACAACTCCAAATTTCAGCAATGCACTGGAAATGCCAGAGAGACTTGGACAATAATCAAGTAGTTGACAGGCAAACAATATAATATTATATATACAGGGATCCACAGTGCACGGTGCATGCGCTTCGAGACACTTTTTCGAAAGTTGTGGAAGATCCAGTTCGCCCTGCACAATCACCCCTACCCCTTGGGCCTCCATCTGCGGTGCACTTCTCGGAATTCTTGCCAGTCTCCATCGCAGCTACCCGGAAAATGTTGGTACAGTTGGCAGGCGCGTGCACTGCTTGGTATTCTTGGAGCCCGGAAACCACCTTTTTGCGGCCAGCGATATTTTTGCTGCATGCACAATGCGCGGGCACTGTCACAGTGTGCGTAGATGCACTTTTCGTGCACGCACATGTGAAAGGCAGGGAACGTGTAGTGCACGCGCCCACCGCTACTGCTGAGTACATCTCATCAGATCAGGCACAGCCACTATGGTACAGGCGCTAATGATATGTCCACTCACACCCGATGCAAATAATTTTTTTGCTGGACTCGACTACGCTGTACAGTGCAGATGGTGTGCTGTGCAGCATGCTTGTGCAAGGACATCAAAGACAAAGTGCGGACAGCAGGCATGTCGCACACTGTAAAAGCCATAATAACGAATTGCTAACTCTAAGAGTTAACGAGGAGAAATCTGTCGTTAAAATATAAATCGTTATATAGAAATCGATACATATACTGTCCTACATGTATTGAGCGTTGAGAATAAGTGAGAATCGTTACCTTTGGTACACGTAAACCAGTCAATTTTGGGAAATCGTTGCTTTCATCTTGGTTTTGAAGTGGGTGCTTTGGTCTTGGACTCGAGTACGAGCGGTTGTCTGTTTTGTTAGTAAAATTACTGTTCAGGTTTGTGGTTTTGAGGACAAAGGCAATGAGTTTTCAGCAGAAGACTTTGTCCGCTCTCTGGGGGAAAGAACCAGCAGCGTCGCACCCGGAACGACGTGAAATTTCTGACGGAGAATCGGATTCTTCCGCCACTGGCAACGGCATTGCTGAAGGCGGCAGCCAAGTTGAAGTTCAAGACTGTGAGGAGCCAAGTTTCACAATAGAGGACGAAACTGCGGACGAGCCCGCTGCAAAAAGATTGACTTTTGGTGAGGTGGGGGCTGACAGTCACAATGAGTCAGACAGTGACACGGATTGACCTGCTTCTTTGACTCACTTACTAGCAAGAGTGTCTGAATCTTCCTTCACTACTTCGAGCTACTTGCATAACGTCGGCTAGCCTATTCATTTTTATCCTGTGCCAGGAAAATGCCTTTATACCACATTTGTTTTGTTGGCTCGGTGGGACTGGCAGCCATAACTTTTAAAGCTGTCTTTCAGTGTTTGGGAGTCGTATATAAGACTCCCTGGTAATACTGCTGAATCTGCAGGTAGCTTATTGCAAATTTGCGGTCGAAAATATTTTGGAAACCACCTTTTTTGACCCAGTACACGCACCTGGTTGGACACCAGAACAGCCACTGGGAGTGATGATATTCCAGCAAGTCTCCTCCAGATGCATGCTGACATCCTGGCACCGTCACTCACGCTACTATTAAACGAGAGAGCTTGGAAGCTCAGTGCCCTATACTATGCTTTTTTGCCTTGATAACCTAGACACAAAAAAGCATAAGGATGTTATATATTCTTTTAAAAATCCTTTTTTTAAGACATAACCTGGGATTCGAATCCGCACTATCGCGCGCCCTGCATGCATCCCCCGATACACTTCGCATACATACTAATTCTTCCAAGTTGCTTCACGTTATGATCTTGCATTTGAAAGCCCTATTTGAATTTATTTTATTTTATTTTACTTTATTTTTTTTTACTATGTTCACATTCCCAGCTCGAAAATAATAAAGAAAGACAATGATACTGAGACTAGGACGAACGTGACAACTATTGAGCAGGGGCTGCAGCGAGACGCAGCAGTGATGGTGGGGCATTGATGGCTTTGCCGACCTGAGGTCTCTGCATCACGGCCAAAAACACGCACCAAAAACAAAAGATAGAGCTGTACGAGTCAGCACAATGAAAAGAAAGGAAGGGTTAACACCAGCGAGTGTGCGGGAGAAACTGTGCGACTATTAACAAATTACAAGGGCTGTTACTGAGAGGAGCATCGAATATGCATTGTGGCCAGCCGTAATTGATGGTACGGTACGGTACAGGATAGGTACGGGACAGGTACGATCGAGGGTAATATGACACCGTCTACCGCCTTGATGACGGCAAAAAAAGAATAGGGATGTTATAAATTTTTCAATTCTCCTATTTTTTAGGCATATCCTGGGATTCGAACCCGCACTATCGCCCTACATGCATTCCCCCATACACTTCGCATTCATACCCATTCTTCCAAGTTGGTTCACGTTATGATCTTGAGTTTGAAAGCCCTATTTGAATATTGCGCCCAGCTGTATGTGGCCAGCTGTGTTTGATGGTACGGTACGGTACGGGACAGATACGGGATAGCGCCAGGCGTGACACAAACAAACAAACAAACAAACACACAAATACCAAGTTAAAGCTGTGTGGACCCTGGCTAGCACCAGACGTTACTGAAGTAACGTCTTCAGCATAGCTACGGGAATAAGTCATTGAGAGAAGGACAGTTTCCTGCGGCAATGAAGGTGGGTTAGATACGGCCTCTGTTCAAGGCTGGTGCCGATAGTGTCGAAAGTGCTTAAAAGTATTGTTCATAAGCAGTCTGCAGTACCTCAACACGAACAATTTCTTGCCTACTAGTCAGTTTGGTCACAGACACCAGCATTCCACAGCAGATGCCTTAGTGATAGCTGTAGAGAATATCAGTGAAGCACAAGCCGCCGGGCAGCACACCAGAGTGGCATTTCTCGACACGTCGAAAGACTTCGACAAGGTAAAGCATAGCATTCTGGTTGAGGACCTCTTCGAACTGGGTCTCACTAGCACCGCTTTGCAACAGTTTTCAGACTACTTGATGTATCGCCGGCAATACACGGAGACAGGAAAAACCAGAAGTACAACTTATGACAGCCAGTCAGAGGTTCCTCAAAGGTCAGTTCTCGGACCTCTGCTCTTCGTTCTGTATGTGATTGCCCGCGATCTTGCCCCTCATGACGTCACCACTATTCCGTTTGCTGATGACATCTCGCTGGTTCAAGCAGTCCACAGCCAGAAGTTATCTCCCAGTGCCTCACAGCAGCAGTTCAGTACCTGGCCACTTGGTTGAAGACACGTGGACTGATTCTTAACAAGACCAAGACACAGATACTCGCCATACCACACCATAAAGCGACAGCCCTCGACATCAATGTTGTGTGCAATTCACAAGTCTTACCAATAGTCACATCTGCCAAATACCTTGGCCTGCATTTTGACTCGGACATGAGTTGGACCACAATGGTGGACCATGTTGCTCGTCGTTTTGCCTGCAAAAGTGCTGTCCTGCTGCGACATGCTTCCTCACTGCCATATCCATGCCGATTCACCTACTTCAGATCTATCATTTTGCCAGAATATGTTTATGTTTCTATTAGTCACTACCCGTTTTTGTCAGTTGCTCAGGAACAACGGCTACATAGGCTGTTTAAAAGTGCCGCTCGGGCAGTCTGCAAGTCGCCACCGTGGACCAGTACTGCTCCCCTGCTAAATCGAATGCTTGTACGTGATCTACAGGTTTTTGTGCACTTGAATATGTTTCGTTTCATCTGGCAATGTTTGCATGATGCATGTTGCACCCTATTTCAGTCCTTTTTTTGCTGTTGTGCCCTCAACGCGCACTCGAGGAGGCCAAAGCAACTTGCTTGTGGTCCCACCTGCTAGCACTGCTCGTTCTGCTGAGCGCCTAACGCACGCTGGAGCCATTATGTGGAATATATTGCCACCAGCAGCAAAATGTTCAAATAGGTACTTGGATTTCAAATCTCAAGCATTGCAGTATAATATTAGAGAGGTTTTGCATTCCGAATCTCGGAATTATTTTCGGAATGTGGCGGCAGCAGTCGAAAAAGTAGTCGAACTTTCGGAATGTGTGGTGGCGAAAGTGCATGGTTTTGCAAAAATGGATTTTCGGCTCTTTCATGTTTGGGAGTGCATATTTGAATACAAAAAAGTGTATTTTTCATGTTTGTATTTTTGCTTGAACAACAACAAGCTCCAGCAGTTCTTGCGAGATGGAACCTGAACGTTAATCCCTCCAAGACAGAGCATACCACCGTTGCCCGATTTCCCGATAGGAACCAGGAAACGTGGCGTACTGTCCGCAAACTAGGCTCCCTCCTGGGTGACGCCGAAGATGCTGCTCGGAGGCGTCAACTGGCCGCCGCCGCCTTCAACTCACTCCTCAAGATCTGGACCCGGAGGCGCCAGATCAGTGAGGTCTTCGGCTGAGGCTCTACAACGCCTACGTCATCCCAGTCCTTACCTACAACTGCGGCACTTGGGGCCTACCGATGTCGGAGCTCGCGCGAATGGATTCGTTCCACAGGACCCAGCTAAGGAGCATCATCGACATGCGGTACCCTAAACGAATTAGCAATGACACTCAGTATAAGCGCTGCGGAGCTGTCCCCATCAGCGAGATGATCACAAGGCAGCGCTACAGTCTCGCTGGCCATATCTTTCGTTTGGCCCCAACTGCTCCTCCACAGTTGGCAGTGGATATGTATCTTCGCCTGGCCAACGACGAGGGCACTGAACGCTTCAGGGGTCGACCTCGGACGACTTTGGTAACGGTCTTGCAGACGGAACTGTTATCATTGCATGGACTTACCCTCCACCAGCCGCTAGATGTTGACGCAGTCCGCACAATGGCAGCGGACCGAAAGGCATGGCGTGGAGCCCGCCCCACCTAACAGGACTGACCAGACATGTTGTATGCATATTCTATTTTATTTTATACTTTGGATGAAGTTTTCCATTAGTCATATTGGTGTTGTTGCTAACGGCTTTTGTTGACGTCACTTCTGTCATTTCATTGTATCGTATTACTCTTCAGACATCAATCCTGAATGGCATAAGCGAAAGTGGCACCCCCGCCACCTACGCGGACATGCTTTTAATAATAATAATACTATTTTTGCTTTCTGCTGCTCTCGATTATTTGAAATTTTTCCCCGTATGTAGTTTTGATTTTTGCTGTTTTTTGCTGCTCTCGCTGATCTCGCCATGTTGACTAATCTTCTCACACTCTATCTTCCTTTGCCATGGAGCCTACTGACAGTACAAGACAGTAGTTCGCCAACCTCGTCTTCAGCTGTTGGATCACTTGGTCCACCATCAGTCCGTCCTCGTCTTCAAACTGCACTCAGTTTGACCTGCGCACATGGATTTGATCCTGCTCAACCTCTTCGACGCTCTCCATTTTGTTTTGTATGGCAACCCTTGGAAACGAAGTCGAATCAGATTTTAGGAATGTAAAACACTGAAAATACCGTTTTTCGGAACGCGCTTTTTTCGGAAAAGCACAGTCGAAAATCATTCCGAAATTCGGAATGCAAAACCTCTCTATTATCAGCGACATAGGTTTTCCATTGCTCACTGGATTTATATCTGTTCGTTACAACCAACCTTCCATTTTCTTTTCTTTCTCTTTTTTCCCATCTCTCCTTTTCCACAATTTCCTTTACAATTTTATTCACAGTGGCTCCAATGTTACTAGGCATTTTGCCTGTTTTGATTTCCACTATAAATAAAGTATACAACAACAACACGGCTGGAAAAAGAAAAAAAACTCTCCCTGGCGGGACTTGAACCAGTTACCTCTCGTATCTCAATCATGGTCTTTAACCAGGCCACTGTGCATGCCTAGTGTTGTGTGTTAATTGCTAAATATCGCTAGGTAACTTGGATTGCTGTGTGTACTGAATTGGGTGGCTGTGCTTAAGCTGTATTGTCGTGAGAAGCTGTGAATTCCTGTTCTTTCACATTCTCTCCGTATGTACTTTTTGGTGAAGGTTTGACTCTGCCCAACATCCCAGGAGGACCGTCCTTAGAGCCCACTCTCATAGTGGATAAATGATGTCCACGGAACCAAATTTGTGACAGTTTTCCTCGTGCCATCAAAGTGCTGTTTTGATCGGTGTGTCACACTGCATGAAGCTGCTTATTATAAACTCGGATGGAGAGCCAGGGATTAAAATTGAGCAAGAGAAGGCCATCAGTTTACAACGTATCTGTTTTGTCATGGTATGTTTTGTCATGTTGTTTTAATAATAATTGTTTATTTGAATTCACCTCACAAGGCTCTTCAGGCTAGTAACCGACATTGACTTACCTGCAGATTGGCTCAAAGTGGCCATGTTGGTACCGTTTAGTACGAAAGAACCCCGAGAATGATGACGAAACCCTGAGGCAATCCAGAAATCACACATGGAGGTCAAGGGTATACAGAAAGGATATACGCACACACACACACACGCATAAACTCGCTTGCACACACACACACAAACACGCACGCACACACACACACACACACACACACACACACACACACACACACACACACACACACACACACACAACACACAAACACACACACACACACACACACACATACGCATACACTTGTACTTGCACTTGCTCACTGCCTAAAACTGGTAACGTGGGTGGGGTTCCCCGGGAGAGACTCAACAGGAATCTTGGAAGGATGACTCAATTGGCTACTGAACTGCCCAACGGCCGGCACCCCTTGAAATCCTCAAACTCTGGGCAAACTTGGAAATGATTCCAAGTATTGGCTCACCAAATCTGAGTAAGTGGATGGCGACAAGGTGCATCCCTATCATGTGCAAAACTGTCTCCCTGCGAATTCCGAAACTTAAGACATACCTCTCGGGAGAGGCAAAAAGTGTTTACTGTAAAGTGCCTTTGATCCGCCCCCACGCCGTGCCGCTTTTCAGCAGGGTTTTCGGGAGGGGGCAGGAATTAGATCAAGGCTGTCAAGTGCAGCAAAATGTACAACAACGCCGAAGGTCAGACTCTGCGTGCTGGTTTGTGCACATTTTTATCCTGCACTGCAACCATGCACTTCATTCAGTATGTTCCATGCATTCTGGGAATTTGCGAACTCTGCAGACTGCGCTGCGCCATCTTCAGATTCCAGATTGCCTGCGCAATCTGCAGATTGCGCATGCACTCTGGGGTGACACGGAAGTATTCGTGACACACGACTAGGCACAGTCGATCTGCATCCCTCACCAGCCGTGAGACTTCTGGGAACATACCCAATGTGTGTGTGTGTGTGGTGCAGAATTCACGTGTGTAGATCATGCAATTTGTGGATTTCGTTGCCAAACATGAAGAAAACAGCAAATCCGCGTGGGACGCAATCCGTGATCGCGATCCGTGGATTTCGTTTGAAACGTGAAGAACACAGCGGGCCCGTGGTGGCAATCTGAAAATTCCAAGAATGCGCACCAGTCATTGTCTGCGTAATCTGAAAATTCCCCTAATGCACAAGCAGACTGCAGATTGCGCAGGCAGTGTGGGAATTCTCAGGTTGCGCAGCAAAAACTGCAGATTGCGAAAATTCTCAGAATATGCGGTACATATACACCAAGTTTACACATATACACCAAGTTTACACATATACACCAAGTTTACACATATACACCAAGTTTACACATTATACACCAAGTTTACACATATACACCAAGTTTACACATATACACCAAGTTTACACATTATACACCAAGTTTACACATATACACCAAGTTTACACATATACACCAAGTTTACACATATACACCAAGTTTACACATATATACCAAGTTTACACATATACACCAAGTATTATTATCATACACCAAGTTTGCTTCACAGGCAGAGCTTAGACAGGTGACAGATATTGGAGAGAGGGTGGATCAATGGTACTTTTCGGTATTATTTGAGGTAATTCTGGCAAACGGGAAAAGTCTGAAGAAAAATTGACTGTCACCACCAGGATTCAAACCAGGGACCTTTGCTTGAGGCCAGCCATGCTCTAACCACTGGGGTATGGTGTAGTCGTCATCCCAGCAGAGACCATTCAACAAACACCTCCTTGACCAGTTAAGGCGAATTGAAAGCCAGAACTGCACAAACAGTTCTACGAGCATTGGTTTCACTGCAGTGGAGTCCCGTTGAATATGTAGTGTCACATGATATTCTTTAGAAGCTTATCTCTGGCATATCTTTCGATAGAATGAATTGAAGACACCACTGCAGCTGTACTTATGGTTGATAAATATGGTGGTAAAGACACACCTGGCAATATGGCGGTAAACACACGCCTGCCCACACACGCTCTCTAGGCTGCAAAGTTCTGGCACAGAGCTCTCCTTCTCACCACCACCACCATCAGTTCGCGCCTGGCGCCTGGTCGATGCATGGCTGGCGGTATCCGGCATAGCAGGCTGGTACATCAAGTAGCGCATGGCACATAGATGATGACACAGCAACGACATAGCTCGATTGCGACGTACGTTTCGTCCCCGCTGGACTCATCAGGCAATCTTCTTCTTGGATGTCTTCATACGGAGCTTGACTCGGGAGAATGAATTGAAGACACCACTGCAGCTGTACTTATGGTTGATAAATATGGTGGTAAAGACACACCTGGCAATATGGCGGTAAACACACGCCTGCCCACACACGCTCTCTAGGCTGCAAAGTTCTGGCACAGAGCTCTCCTTCTCACCACCACCACCATCAGTTCGCGCCTGGCGCCTGGTCGATGCATGGCTGGCGGTATCCGGCATAGCAGGCTGGTACATCAAGTAGCGCATGGCACATAGATGATGACACAGCAACGACATAGCTCGATTGCGACGTACGTTTCGTCCCCGCTGGACTCATCAGGCAATCTTCTTCTTGGATGTCTTCATACGGAGCTTGACTCGGGAGAATGAATTGAAGACACCACTGCAGCTGTACTTATGGTTGATAAATATGGTGGTAAAGACACACCTGGCAATATGGCGGTAAACACACGCCTGCCCACACACGCTCTCTAGGCTGCAAAGTTCTGGCACAGAGCTCTCCTTCTCACCACCACCACCATCAGTTCGCGCCTGGCGCCTGGTCGATGCATGGCTGGCGGTATCCGGCATAGCAGGCTGGTACATCAAGTAGCGCATGGCACATAGATGATGACACAGCAACGAAAAAGCTCGATTGCGACGTACGTGTCGTCCCCGCTGGACTCATCAGGCAATCTTCTTCTTGGATGTCTTCATACGGAGCTTGACTCGGGAGAATGAATTGAAGACACCACTGCAGCTGTACTTATGGTTGATAAATATGGTGGTAAAGACACACCTGGCAATATGGCGGTAAACACACGCCTGCCCACACACGCTCTCTAGGCTGCAAAGTTCTGGCACAGAGCTCTCCTTCTCACCACCACCACCATCAGTTCGCGCCTGGCGCCTGGTCGATGCATGGCTGGCGGTATCCGGCATAGCAGGCTGGTACATCAAGTAGCGCATGGCACATAGATGATGACACAGCAACGACATAGCTCGATTGCGACGTACGTTTCGTCCCCGCTGGACTCATCAGGCAATCTTCTTCTTGGATGTCTTCATACGGAGCTACAGCTGCAGTGGTGTCTTCAATTCATTCTCCCGAGTCAAGCTCCGTATGAAGACATCCAAGAAGAAGATTGCCTGATGAGTCCAGCGGGGACGAAACGTACGTCGCAATCGAGCTATGTCGTTGCTGTGTCATCATCTATGTGCCATGCACTACTTGATGTACCAGCCTGCTATGCCGGATACCGCCAGCCATGCATCGACCCGAGGCGCCAGGCGCGAACTGATGGTGGTGGTGGTGAGAAGGAGAGCTCTGTGCCAGAACTTTGCAGCCTAGAGAGCGTGTGTGGGCAGGCGTGTGTTTACCGCCATATTGCCAGGTGTGTCTTTACCACCATATTTATCAACCATAAGTACAGCTGCAGTGGTGTCTTCAATTCATTCTCCCGAGTCAAGCTCCGTATGAAGACATCCAAGAAGAAGATTGCCTGATGAGTCCAGCGGGGACGAAACGTACGTCGCAATCGAGCTATGTCGTTGCTGTGTCATCATCTATGTGCCATGCGCTACTTGATGTACCAGCCTGCTATGCCGGATACCGCCAGCCATGCATCGACCAGGCGCCAGGCGCGAACTGATGGTGGTGGTGGTGAGAAGGAGAGCTCTGTGCCAGAACTTTGCAGCCTAGAGAGCGTGTGTGGGCAGGCGTGTGTTTACCGCCATATTGCCAGGTGTGTCTTTACCACCATATTTATCAACCATAAGTACAGCTGCAGTGGTGTCTTCAATTCATTCTCCCGAGTCAAGCTCCGTATGAAGACATCCAAGAAGAAGATTGCCTGATGAGTCCAGCGGGGACGAAACGTACGTCGCAATCGAGCTATGTCGTTGCTGTGTCATCATCTATGTGCCATGCGCTACTTGATGTACCAGCCTGCTATGCCGGATACCGCCAGCCATGCATCGACCAGGCGCCAGGCGCGAACTGATGGTGGTGGTGGTGAGAAGGAGAGCTCTGTGCCAGAACTTTGCAGCCTAGAGAGCGTGTGTGGGCAGGCGTGTGTTTACCGCCATATTGCCAGGTGTGTCTTTACCACCATATTTATCAACCATAAGTACAGCTGCAGTGGTGTCTTCAATTCATTCTCCCGAGTCAAGCTCCGTATGAAGACATCCAAGAAGAAGATTGCCTGATGAGTCCAGCGGGGACGAAACGTACGTCGCAATCGAGCTATGTCGTTGCTGTGTCATCATCTATGTGCCATGCGCTACTTGATGTACCAGCCTGCTATGCCGGATACCGCCAGCCATGCATCGACCAGGCGCCAGGCGCGAACTGATGGTGGTGGTGGTGAGAAGGAGAGCTCTGTGCCAGAACTTTGCAGCCTAGAGAGCGTGTGTGGGCAGGCGTGTGTTTACCGCCATATTGCCAGGTGTGTCTTTACCACCATATTTATCAACCATAAGTACAGCTGCAGTGGTGTCTTCAATTCATTCTCCCGAGTCAAGCTCCGTATGAAGACATCCAAGAAGAAGATTGCCTGATGAGTCCAGCGGGGACGAAACGTACGTCGCAATCAAGCTATGTCGTTGCTGTGTCATCATCTATGTGCCATGCGCTACTTGATGTACCAGCCTGCTATGCCGGATACCGCCAGCCATGCATCGACCAGGCGCCAGGCGCGAACTGATGGTGGTGGTGGTGAGAAGGAGAGCTCTGTGCCAGAACTTTGCAGCCTAGAGAGCGTGTGTGGGCAGGCGTGTGTTTACCGCCATATTGCCAGGTGTGTCTTTACCACCATATTTATCAACCATAAGTACAGCTGCAGTGGTG